GCTTTAGTGGGAGGGGTTGTTCCTGAGGCTTGATGACCCCCAAACATGGGTTCGGGGATCCCAGTTTTTTTTGGTGCCCGGTATTGAAGTTTCAGTGCCGAACGCATGAGATTCACACCTTCACGAAAGCCCAAATGGAATGAGACTTTGTTCTGGTCGAGTTCAGGGTTTCGATTGCCAGAGATTAGGACACCTTCGAAGCCCTTCTCTTTGTGGTTGGCCAGTTTTGGGATACAAACAGCGCTTGAGGTTTCAATTGCCCAGACACATTTCAGAAACTCCTCCCCTAGTGTTGTGGCCAGTTGTTTCAATGCGCTTTGATTTCCCCCAAAGCTTATCGAGAACAGTTTGGTTACTGAGAAACCCTGAGACCTACACACATTCAAGAGACGCTTTTGCTTGTGTTTTATCGCGGTGTCCTAAGACGCCCCCCCCCCCCCCCCAACAGATGGCTCCATTTTAGTGGATAGAACACAGCGTGTCTCGCAACAGTCGTCGCAGGCACTTCTACCCGAAAACTGCCAAGAAGAAGGTGAGTGCTAAGCCAAAAGCCCGCCAGTCCGCAAGAGCGGCGAAGAGCAAGGCTGCGAAGGCCAAGGCCCGACCTAAGGGTAAGGCCAAGGTTGAGAAGCCTGACTCTCCGCCTACAAAGAGGAAGCGTCAGTGAGTCTAGCGGCCTTTGGCCAAAGGGCAATGAGTTTTCAGCGCTAAGCTGATCCAATCTTTTGGGGTTTCGGTGCATCGCGCCACCAACTTTGGGTCCACCCACATCGTGTGGCATCTTGTGGGGTAGAGGCCTTTTAGTCCTCACAGCAGCAATCGCGCATGGAGCAGTCAAAAAGCCGACTACCCTTATGCGTTGCCAATTCAACAGAATCCAAGAGCCAGACACCTCACATTAATTGGCCCTCGTGGTTTGGTTTATTCAATAGAACATTTACGGGAAGTAATCACGCGCCATGTGTTTGGCACTAAGATTCTGCTGGATTTGTTGCCTTGCAAGCATCGAGCAAGCCAAGAGGGATACTTTATTTTGGATGCCCCAAACTTGTCGCCTGTCATCCGTCCTAGGCGGCAAACCGCAAGTTGGACCATTTGGCGAAGCTCTCGCTGAAGGTTTCTCGGACGGGGCCTGATTCCTAGATGCACGTGTCGGCTGACCAGGTAGCTTGAGGATGCCCAAGAGTCAACACAAAACCTTTGTCTTTCAGGGCGGCACGCTTATGAAAACCCACGAAGCCACGGAACCCCATGGTTTTTCCCGTTGCAATTCCCTTTGCAACCAAACAGACAAACTGTTGAGGCCTCGGCCCGGAACACGGTGTCCTTGGCGGCCGCGGCCCGTGAAGAATTCGCTGAGTCCGGCCTGGGCAGCTCCGCTGCATGCGTCCCGGAAACTTCGGAAAGCAATGCTTCGCGAACTGTTTACAGGGCACTGGAACGTCTTGGGTTACTCTGGAAAATTCCCATCAGCATCATTGAGCACCCCATTGGAAACGATGAGTTCCTCAGTTTGGACATGTGCAAGCCGCTGGACATTGTACAGTATTTGGTTTCGAAATGCCCGGAACTGCTTTTTGGCGGTGAGTTGCACCCGAGGAGGATCGCAGAGCAACTTTCAACATTCTGGTCCAATTATCGACATTGCCACCCCGAACACGTTGTATTTGAGCATCATTGTGACAGCTTAACTCAGGTGATACCTGTGTGTTTGCATGGAGACGAGGGCCGGGGATTACGCAAAGGTAACACAGCCATCCTCACCTTGGAGTGTGTTCTCGGACTGGGCTCCGCTGACCGGTCAAACACAACCTGCTCTTGCTCGCAGACTTTGTGTCCTGCGATGGCAAGAAAGCTGCATGTGGACCCCAACACAGCCTATGAAGCCAATTTGGCGGACTGCCAGACCACGAACCTCAAGTCGCACTCGTTCCTTACCAGGTTTCCGGTGTATGCTGTCCACAGCAGGCAATACAAACAAGCTGAGGATGTGTTTGACCGGCTGCTATCAGAAGTAGCAGTGCAAATGAAACAATTGTTTCATGAGGGCGTGTCTTCCGCAAGCGGGAAGCAGTGGTACTTCGCCTGTTTGGGGATGAAAGGTGACTTGAAGTGGATGGTTCGTCAAGCCTGTCAGATGGACCGCTGCTACCTTTACCTTGCAAAACGGGTTGACCAACCCATGTGCCACGAGTGCATGGCTGGGTCTACCGCCCTTCCCTATGAGGACTTGGGTTTCTCGCCAAAGTGGGAATCCACACTCTACCAAGAGCGTCCGTGGGATGAGTGGTACACCCCGCCGCTGGCTCAGGTCCCTTGGGGCGGCCCGCCGGAGAAGTTCTTTCGGCGTGACACGTTTCACACGTTGAGGACCGGCGTGTTTCGAGACTTCGCAGCATCCTGCATGTTTTATTTGTGTGACTACTGGTCCTACTTCACCGACCCCGATGAGAGCAACTCTGTGGATGCCAAGCTGGTCCGAATGTTCCACCACTTCTCATGGTTTTGCACCAGTGTGAACAAGAAACCTGCCCTTCATTCGTTTACACGAGCGCTCCTCCATCGCCCAAACTCTTCTGCATACCCGTGGGCCAATGTGAAGGCAAGCGATATGACTCTTATTATGGAGTGGATGGTCATTTTGCTTCGTGGTTTTATGAACAACCCTGATTGCCCATCTCATCTGGAAACACTTCGCACCATGCACGCTGGAACGGTTGCAGGGCTGGACTTCTTCCGTTGCCTTTACCATCATGGAGTTTGGCTTACAAAACCATGTGCTGCTTACCTTTATCAATGCGGGTATCTCTTTCAGCAATCTTATTTGGCGATGGCCAACTTGGCGCACCAACAGAAGTTTGCTGGCTGGCTGGTCAAGCCCAAGAGCCATGCTTTTGGGCACACGCAAGTGGAACTGAAGCGGTGGATCCAGGACCCTGCAGTGAACCGGGTTCTTTCCCCCTGCGTGTTTGCATGCGACACCAACGAGGACTTCATAGGCAAGCTAAGTCGAGTTTCACGGAGGGTCCACCAGAAAAGAGTTTCCAAGCGTGTGATGACCCTATATTTCACAAAGGCAGCTGCCTTATACAGGCGCTACGCTAGGGCCAAGGCTGCGAAGGCAGCACGTGCATCGCAGCAGCGCAGGACATAGGAGTGTGGCTACTCTTTGCTGGATAGGTCTTTTTTGTGCATGGCTGGGCCCCTATCATGCTTCGAATGCTGGAGCCAGTGGACTGTGAGCTGTTGTGACTTCAGTGTCCGGGCTGCTGCTGATGCTATGGCAGGTGCTTCACAAATGCACGCAGAAGCGGCGAAAATGGCCATCGATCCCACTCGCAAACCCTGGCACGGCGATTTTCAACCCAAGCGGCAATCATATCTTTGAACGTCGTTTTTTTGGGCCAAACCGCATCCGAGCAAAATAAATGCACCCCCGGAAGGTGCAGGTATTCTTTTTATTTTTTTGCAGGGTTTTCCGCTGACACTCTTGCGATGTTTTATTTTTATTTTTATTTTTGGGGGGGGGTTTTCCGCTGACACTCTTGCGATGTTTTTGATTTGTTATTTTTAATTTTTTTTGGGGGGGGGTTTTCCGCTGACACTCTTGCTAAATCACGGGGGATAAAAAAATAAAATAAAAATAAAAATCGTGTTTCACCGGACCAACACCTGCTCTCAAATTCCGGGGGGGGGTACCCTCCCGCCCTTTTCACATGCAAACTGGGGGTCCTGGTTTGGACCATTGTCCTGTTGGAGGGACCCCCCAAACGTCAGGTTCCATGTTAATTGGTAGGATGTAAGGTAGGGGGATCAAGTTATGTCCAAAATTGAAGCACGTGTAGCAGAGGCGGATAAAGGGACGCGTCTCGCGTGAAAGGGCATGGAACCCAAACGGATGTGATTCGCCCTTTGACTTGGGAACTCCCGGAGGACTTCACGGTGAATTCTGCGCAATCATGGGCGCACGGTGTCAAACATATTGCAACCGGAGAATATCCTATCCAACTTCAAAACTGATGAACACAATCAAACCCATCCAATGTTTTTTCTAGAATGTCTCACTTTAAGTTTCACTCTTGCATGAACAACATCTAAATTAGTCGTTCAATGTTCAAAGGCAGATAATGCCTGCTGTGCATGAATTTGCCTCCAGCCACACTTTGTCCAGATCTCAGGTCCGCTTCAGGTCAAGACGAGGAACCCAGTGGAATGAAGAGCCATGTTGTGCTCCAGGCCATGCTTGCAAACCAGAAGCTGACATTTTATGACTGTACTGGAATTGGAAAAGCAAGCAAGGGACTGGTCAGAAGGCACACGGATTCCCTTCCGAAGTTGTCATGCAACATCTTCTGGTCCCCGAAACTCTGCTTTCGCAGTTCCTAGTGGCTGCTTGGTTGCCTTTATTCTGCGCTGCAGGGTTCCCCTTTTTGACTACCCTAAGGTACTTAGACCCAGGGGCGGTTGATGTCCGCCTTAGGAAAGCGCCTGGGTTTAAGTCTATCTTGGGGTAGTCAAAACTTGGAACCCTGCTGTGCTGGGTCTTAACAGTATTCGGCTGAGAGCCTGGCTCCATCTGCTGATCAGGCCATGACACAATACATGAAAGATTGTTCAGAGGCAGAAAGTTTGCTGGCTGCCTGGTCCCCTGATTTGCGGTTTGGTGAAGATCATTTGTATTGTAGTTACCTCCACCAACCATTCTGAAGCGCAACTGGGTTGGAGATCTAACCACCTGTCTGCGAAGCAAACCCAGGCTGTGCCCACTGCAAAGGCCCCTCGAAAGGAGAGGTTCTAAAGAAACCTGCTCGAACCTGTCTGGTGAGGAGAGGGCACGTCATGGCTGTGCAAAAGGCGCCTTTCCGTGATGTCAGAGCGGGTTGTCCACTTTGAAGATGACTTCCCAAGGACCACTCACAGAAAATGGACACCTAAAACCAATTGTACCACAACCTCGAGGTCGATTCCGTCTCTCGCCAATTCCAAAAGCGTTTGAGCGCCTCCAGAAGCTTCAATTCATTGCCCTTCGCTCCCTGCGACCGGACGGACCGGGCGAAAGCCGGGAGACAAGCATGGCTCATCCACTGGTCGTTCTTTTTTGGAGTTTGCTAAGGAAGGACTCCAAATGAACCCACCTGCCTTCAGGTGAAGCCTCCGCTCCAAACCGGCAGGCACCATTTAAACAGTCTGCTCATTTGCTCATTGATTGACTAGATTCCCATTCCCCAACTACAAACCCAGACGTACCACGTGAACCTAGAGATCACTACGCTTGACGCAAGGTATGGCAACACCAGCCTCTGAGTCCAGCCTCGGAGATGGACACAAAAGGCCGGTGGGTCCCACAAATTGCGGACTTACCAAAAGAGAGAGAGAGAGAGAGAGAGAGATTTGAGTCACAATCAAAACCCGGTAGTAAAATGGTCTACCCAGAACCATGCAAAGAATTAACAAGGCGGCCGCAGCTATTTATGGTTGGGATTGTCCCTTACTAACCTTCATCTACCCAGGTTTTGATTGTGGCTCATTTGAAGATTTCGTTTCCGGGTCCCGGTTCTCGACCTCAACGCCCATGGGTACCCTCAAGAAACTCACATGACGAGAAGGAAAGCTTGCTCTACTCGTGCCTAGGCTGTGGCTGAAGGCAAGTCCTAAAACGCAGTGTGTTGCACAAAGTACGAATTCTTCGCCCAGTGCAACTCGTGCAGCATTGTTCTACAGTAGTGGCCCGCAAAAGGAGATCCTGGAAAAAGCCGTACAGCTTAAACGCAAAATCACCTTTCCAACAGAAAAGGCCATCGAACTTGGACCAAATGGTCAAATGTAAACTCACATGGACATAATACATATATATATATATATATATAGACACGATAATATATATATATATAGACACGATAATATATATATATCATAATGATACCATAATATATATATATATAATTATATATTATAATATCATAATATGGACCCCTGCAGTCAGACGCAATGTCTCAGGACTGGGCAAAGATTCCGACAGCTCCTGCACAACATCCAGACTTTGCATTTCCACAAGCACCCTGTGGCTTGCCATGAAAAAAGAGCCCCTATTTTTGTAGAAGGGGAACCCTCCTCAAAAAAACAAGCGGCTCAAAACGAGGCGCGATTGGAGGTCTGGGTTTCTTGCTGGAAGACGTGTTTGCCCGTTCCACAACAACCAAGTGCCAGGGCTGGTCATGACAAATAATCGTGCTGGCGGTTTAAGAACAGTGACAAAGTGCTGTGTTGCCCAGTTGCTCACAAGAAGTCTGATCTGAAAGCAAGCCGCTGCTACACATCCACTGACAAAGACATATTGGCCCTCACCTAACCTTTCCTTAAGAGCAGCTTGCCGCACCTGATCGGCATCCAGCTGCACATTCCTGAGAGCAAATGAGTCATAAGACACGCCTAGTATTCAGTGGCTTGCCCAAACGCATGTCAACGTAAAGAATAGAAAGGATGGTTTGCGCTGCATCTGTCTACGGAAAGGGCACTGTCCTCTTGACTTGCCCAGGTTTTCAGGATAAACAGGCGAATGCGTCACTCGACCCTGAGAACTGGACGAGCCCATCCAGCCCTCAGTCCAAAAACATGTCACAAACCCTGGCAATGCACATGCAGAGTGCTTGCAATGATCACTCAACACACTGTCACTTTGGGTTCAAAGGATAGTTGTAGTGGTTTATACAGGCCTCGTTATCACTCCCTATCAAACCAAGTTGTGGAAGTCCATCCTTAAAATGGCCAACAGGCCTGTCGGCGCTGATCAAATGGACCACTGCGCTGAACCTGGCAACCAACATGTCGAACTTAGGCTCCAACATTCCCTCGCTTGGCCTGGTTGACATGTGTGTGTGTGTGTCACTCTGTGTCTGTGTGTGTGTGTATGTGCTCTGTGTGTGTGTGTATGTGCTCTGTGTGTGTGAGCGGGCTTCAGCATGTGTGTGTGCGTGTGGACGTGTTTTCCAATAGTGCCCTTTTAAGGTCGGTCTACAGGGAAACCAAGAGGGGTAAACCCCCATTGCCTGGTCTCTTGCGGTTTTGTCAAACATTGTCAATCATTGCAGCAAGCCATGGAAAACAATGCCAGCTTGTGCAGGTCAACGCTTGCAATGCGGCATGAATTGCCTGAATTCTGCCTTACTAATCCGACTTGACTGCAGATTTGATGATTTGGACTCCTCGTGCAATTTGCGGGAAAAGGGTTTCATAGCCAGTACCTTCCGACCAACTATCGTGGAAGCCAACTAGTAGGTTATAGCAGGTTCCTTTGAGAGAAACCATGTCTTACACCCCCAGCCAGCTTCTGTAAGTGAGTGGGGCATGTGTATGATGCTCCCAACACAGCGTTATCTCTGATGCAAAGCTCGGCATGTGAGCCACGGTCAGAATCTGTGGAGACGAGCGCCGGTCCCGGCCCCGAACCCGCGATGGGCAACGTTTGGGTTGAAATGCTGCGAGTCCCGCGTGTTCCGGCGCCCACACCTCATGTAGCGCAAGGTTTCTCAGAAAGAGCGGGTTTCCCAAGGAACCTCCAGCTTTTAAACACCGGTCGGCTCCCATTGCCTGGTTTTGAGAGGGGAAACATGGATGTAAAAGGAAACCTGGCAGTTTCCTTTTTCAGCGTGTTGGTTGAACCTGGGCAGCTGTACAGAAGTTAAAGGATTGCGCTCAGCCTCTTGCCTGCCAGTTTTTGCAGGTCCCATTTTTCTTGCGGAATCAGACTGATTAGCTGCCCCACAAAATGACTCTGTTCTATAGACGAGCCTTCTGTGAACCACTTTCCATCAAGATCCCAGAAATACTGATACACTCCGTCCCACCACCAGGACACCTGACAGAGGCTCCATTGAGGAGGGTCCATTGATCTTTCGGGGAGCCTCCCACAAATGCCTTCTGTTCGTGGGAGGAAGGGTACCCGTCCCCGCGCCAATTCCGCCCATTCCGCCGCTTCTGCGCCCAACCCGCTGCTCGCTGCGGAAAGCGACGCCCGCCTGAAGCCGGCGGCGCTCACATTCCTCCTCCAACCCAGCGAGGCCTCGGAGAGCGGCGCGACCCGCGGCGGGGAGGGGGGGGGGGGGCGTCTCCACTGATCATCAATGGCCGACCGACCAAACAATGCTTGGGGTATCAACCTGCTAACTGCAGTTTACTGGATGTATAACCCATCCATGTGTATATATATATATATATGTAATACTCACGTGTATATATATATATATATATAGTCATGTATGCATGTGTATTTGTTTGTATACACAAACAGAAGCGGCCAGGTACCCAAACCAATGTCGAATGAGTTTAAAGGCCAAACATCTGCACCTATGGTTGCCACAGAAGGTGAGGTCGATTTGCTGTGGGCTAAAAAGTACTTAACATGGAGAGTCAATCCAAAGCCAAAGGAGAGCGGTAGAACAACCAGCTGGACAATTGGGGACAACTCCAACCGCTTGCTTCTCGCGAATTCCTTTTCTGTGCGACCTTTGGCCTTTGGCAAGGCACACCATGCTGAGAGATTGGAAGATGTGGGTCGATCTGAGATAGCAAGCTGGGTCAACAATATGTCGTTTTTGGGCAAGGCAGCATAGAGAGCAAGTGCGCGAAGACATATTGTTGGTCTGAGAGGGTTTCCATCCCCAAAGTGAGAAGCGGCCGTTCTCCGTTCACACGCCCCACACGCCCGTCGGCCCGTCCGTTGGCCCCAAAGTGCCAGTACCGAAGGGAGAATTGCAGATTTATTAATGGTGCTATAGTCAAAGCACCCCAAAGTAGATCAGGTCTGTACAACAAGCGGAACCACGATTGGCAGACCTCCGGAATCCTTGCTGGCTCTCGATAGGGAATCAAGGGCAAGGGGTTTTGGGAATGAACCTGGGGATTTACTTAGAGGAAAACAGCAAAGGATGGTGCATAGGGGTCATTCCGTCATACTCTACTGAGAACCAGCGATACTAATTAATCCGGAGCTTCTCTTCGACTTCAGTTGCAGGGCTCAAAGCATCTTGGCCAAGCTCAAGAAGCCTTTCCATCCGAGCGGCGTCCACGCGCCTCTAAGGCTGCGGAAGAGTTCGCTGACACCTGGACTTGACCACAACACATTGACTGCTTCACAGGAACATGACGGACACGGGCAAAAACCAGACATGGGCGAAACAAGTGGCAACTTGGCCAAAACCAAAGAGCAAAAAGGTTCTTCGGGTCTGGCAAAGACACCTCGTTCCCATGTGTGGGGCTGCCAGCACCAGAGATGTCCACTGCCAATAGCTGCTCCAGGCCACCGGAAATCTGCCCGCGCCAGGCGTCGTAGACTGCTCGCCACGCTTCGTCCTCCAGCCTGCCGTTGGCGGCCTCCTTGGCACAGGCTGTGTTATTTCCGTCACCCCCTTTCCTAAAGGGCTTGGTGCAGTCCCTGGCAAGCACCGAAAGGGTTGTTTGTTCACACAAATAACATATATGCATTTTTCTGTGTGTATATGTGTGTATGTGTGTATGTGTCTATCTCTGTCTGTCCGTTCGTCTGTCTGCCTGCCTGCCTGTATATATTATGTGTCTCTGTGTGTCTCTGTGTGTGTCTCTCTGTCCGTCTACCTGCATGTCTCTGTCTGTCTATATGTGTGTTTGTGTCTGCCTATTTCTGTGTCTCTGAATGTCTCTGTGTGTCCTGTGTGTCTGCGTGTCTCTGTCTCTCTGTCTGTGTCTGTTTGTCTGTCCTTATATCTATGTGTCTCTGTGTGTCTCTGCCTGCCTGCCTGCCTGCCTGCCGTCTGTCTGTCTGTCTGTCTCTGTCTGGCTGTCTGCCTGCCTGTCTCTGTCTCTGTCTCTGTCTCTGTCTCTGTCTTTGTCTCTGTCTCTGTCTCCGTCTCTGTCTGTCACACTGTCTGTTTCTGCGTGTGGGGTGCCTGTAATTCGCTGGGTGCCTGTGTATGCAGTGGTTTTAGGTGGGTGCCTGTGTCTGTGTGTGTGTGTGCGTGCGTGCGTGCGTGCGTGCGCGCGTTGTATGTGTGTGTGTGTGTGTGTGTGTGTGTGTGTGCGTGTGTGTGTGTGCGTGTGTGTGTGTGTGTGTGTGTGTGTGTGTGTGTGTGTGTGTGTGTGTGTGTGTGTGTGTGTGTGTGTGTGTGTGTGTGTGTGTGTGTGTGTGTGTGTGTGTGTGTGTGTGTGTGTGTGTGTGTGTGTGTGTGTGTGCGCGTGTGTGTCGTGTGTGCGCGTGTGTGCGTGTGTGCGCGTGTGCGCGTGTGTGCGTGTGCGTGTGTGTGTGTGTGTGTGTGTGTGCGTGTGTGTACGTACGTATCATGTGCGCGTGTGCATCTGTGTAATACGTGCGTGTGCGTGTGCCGTGTGCCGTGTGTGCCGTGTGTGCGTTTGCCGTGTGTCCGTGTGTGCCGTGCCGTGCGCCGTGCGCCGTGTGCCGATTGCCGGGTGCCGTGTGCCGTGTGCCGTGCGTGTGTGTGTGTGTGGGTGCGTGCGTGCGTGCGTGCGTGCATGCGTGCCTGCGTGGGTGGGTGCGTGCGTGCGTGCCTGGGTGGGTGCGTGCGTGGGTGCGTGGGTGCGTGGGTGCGTGTGCGTGCGTGCGTGCGTGCGTGCGTGCGCGCGGGTGTGTGTGTGTGTGTGTGGGTGCGTGCGTGCGTGCGTGCGTGCGTGCGTGTGCGTGAGTGCGCGTGAGTGCGTGCGTGCGTGCGTGCGTGCGTGCGTGCGTGCGTGCGTGCGTGCGTGTGTAGGTGTGCGTGTGTGCAGCTATGTGTATGTGTGTGCATGTGTGTGTGTGCGCGTGTGCAACTGTACATCTGCGCATCTGTGGAACTAAGCGTGTGTGCATGTGTGCATGTTTCCATGCACGCATGCGAGCGCGCGTGCGTGGGGCGTGGGCGTGGGCGTGGGCGCGGGTGAATGTGTGTGTGTGTGTGGGTGTGTGTTTGTGTGTGTGTGCTCGTGCGCGTCCTTTTGCGTGTCTGTGAATGTGCGTATGTCAGAGCTTGCCTTTTTGCTTGCGTGTATGCGTGCGCGTGTGGGTGTTTGCGGCTCTATATACCTGGACCTTCCGACATGTAAAATTAACGCCGTTTCCCAAAACAGCAATAATTTTCGCCGGTTGCTGAGAAAAACGCCCTTTCAGAGAAAAAGCGCTCGCAGTGAGTCCAGCTCGGATCCAGGCAAAAAAAGGCGCCGTTTCGCCGGCAAATTACGCCGTTTTGACGGCAAATTACACCGTTTGCAATTTGGATTCATGCTAGAGTGTGCGAACACTGAAAACTGCCGGCAGGCGAAAATAATCGCCGTTGGGTCAAAAGACATAATCTTTTGGCTCAGCAACAATGTTTTACACGTATTTGGAAGACAGTATATATATATATATGTCTGTATGGTATCTGTGTGTGTCACAGCGTCGTGTATGTGTGTGTGTGTCGTATCAGTATTACACTTTGTGCAACATGCATCAATCGTCATGCATCGTGTGTGTGTGCATGTGGGTTATAGTTTACCGCCTTAGCGTGCGTGGTCTTGATGAAGCGCATAAGAGTAGAAGAAGCGTGTCACATGTGGCGTATTCGCCTCGTCGTCGATAAATAGCGTCGCGTGCGGATAATATGGTAGGCAATAAGCATCGTCATCATTATGTCGTCACATCGTCTTGTCGTCACGTAAATAAATACACTGAAAGCGCAAATCTTGTCGTCTGTCGTCACACGTAAATCATCGTCATCGTCATCGATACCGATAAATAAATAAATAAATAAATGCGTCTGTCGTCACAGCATCGTCTGTAAATACCAAATGAAGTAAATGAAACAAATACGTCATCGTCATCGTCACGTAAAATGCGTAAATCGTAAATGCCCAAATGGAAGTAAATGCGTAAATGCGTAAATGCGTAAATGCCAAGTAAATGAAGTAAATGAAATGCGTAAATGAAATGGAAATGGGTCATCACATCATCGTGTGTGTGTATAGAAGTGATGTGTGTGTGTAAAGCGTGTGTGTGTGTGTGTGTGTGTGTGTGTGTGTGTATGTGTATGTGTGTATGTGTGTGTGTGTGTGTGCATCATGCGTGGTGTGTGTGTGTGTACGTGTGTGTGTGTACGTACGTGTGTGTGTGTGTGTGTATGTGTGTGTGTGTGTGTGTGTGTGTGTGTGTGTGTGTACGCGTACGCGTCTCGCATCTGCGTCTGCGTCTTAGCGTCTGGCGTCTTGCGTCTGGCGTCTCTTAGCGTCTGCGTCTGCGTGCGTATGCATTGTGCGTATGCGTGTGCGTGTGCGTGTCACGGTACGGTACGGTACGGTGTCGTGTAGTGTAGTGTAGTATGGTATAGTGTAGTATGATAGTTTGTGCTGTAGTATATACACTATTATTATGTGTGTGTGGGTGTGTGTGTGTGTGTATGTGTGTGTAAAAAGCATCTGTGGCATCTGTATCTGCGTATCTGAAATCTGGGCATCTGAATGTGTGTGTGTGTGTGTGTACGCGTATGCGTATGCGTATACGTATGCGTATGCGTATGCGTATCCGTATGTGTGTGGGTATTCTGTTAGTGTGTGTGTGTGTGTGTGTGTGTGGGTATTATGCGTGTACGTATGCGTGTAGTTGTGCGCATTGTGCGCATTGTGCGCGTTGCGCGTACGCAGCATCTTAGCATCACGCGTCTGCAACGTCTCAGCGTCTGCGTATCTTATCTTGGCGTCTTAAATCTTATCTTGTATATATATGTGTGTATAATATGAAACGTGAAGCCAAGCAGAAAGCGAAAGCGAAAGCGAAGAAGCGAAGAAGCGAGCGGGCGGCGGCGTGCGTGCGTGCGTGCGTGCGTGCGTACGTGGGTAGGTGGGTGTGTGCGTGTGCGTGTGCGTGCGTGCGTGACGTGCGCGCGGCGTGCGAGCGCTGTGCGGGCGTGCGGCTGCGTGCGTGCGTGCGTGCGTGCGTGCGTCGGGTGCGGGTGGGCGGGCGGGCGGGGGCGTGCGGGCGTGCGGGCGTGCGTGCGTGCGTGCGTGCGTGCGTCCCGGGTGGGCGGGCGGGCGGGCGGGGGTGCGTGGGCGCGTGGGTGCGCGGGTGCATGGGGTGCGTGGGGTGCGTGGGGTGCGTGGGGTGCGTGGGGTGCGTGGGGTGCGTGGGGTGCATGGGGTGCGTGGGGTGCGTGGGGTGCGTTGGGTGCGTGGGTGCGTGGGTGCGTGGGTGCGTGGGTGCGTGCCTGCGTGCGTGGGGGCGTGGGGGCGCGGGGTGCGCGGGGTGCGCGGGGTGCGCGGGGTGCGCGGGGTGCGCGGGGTGCGTGGGTGCGCGGGTGCGTGGGCGGGTGGGTGGGTGGGTGCGTGCGTGCGTGGGTGTGTGTGTGTGTGCGTGGGTGTGTGGGTGTGTGGGTGTGCGGGGCACCGCTACAGCAAACGAGACCACCACCATCTGGCAAAGGCCTGAAGTTCTGAAGGATTGAGGATTGGTTGTGAGCAAATCCTACCAACGCAGGACTGGCAAAACAACGCTTGCCCATCCCCAACAAAGCCCTGCGTGAGGCCTTAACCAGTCAAAATGCTGGCAGGAAGTCGCCAGGAAGTGTCTGAGCGCCTCTCGTCCCTGGCACTCCTGCTCAATCTTCCAATTCAATTGCAAGTAGGGTCCCAAAGCCAGTACTTTCCCTTTTTGTGGGTTGGTTTACTTACGCTATTTCGGGAATTCAAGCGTATCAAAGCCTGTTGTGCGGCTCCTAGCTTCGCCGAGGCGCAGCGAGTTGCCTCAGTGCCTTGTTCTTCTTCTCGATGAGGCCGATCAGTGTGGCTTCATCCAAATCCCCCGGCCGGCGCCTGCCGAGTGTTTCGGGCAATCAGTATACTTGGGAAGATTGACTTCTGATTCACCTGCAGCTGGTTGCGGGAGTTCCCCTGGAAGAAATTGAAAAGGAACCATCCTGGCTATTGATAATCAGAGTTTAACATGAACAAACAATTCGTCCCGGCCCAAGGACTGACGACGGAAGACCAGTTTTAGTTTTTCTGAGACTCGCCCGCACTATTGCTCAGCTTGGCATTTGTTCCAACTAAATCTGTCCATGACAAAGTCGTCATCGATGCCACATTGACCTTGCAGAACCTAAATGCTCCTTGGTTCCTTCGATTGTAGTGCTGCCAATTGTGACATCTAGTGGACCCCCTGAACCAAACTCCTGCCCGAATTCAGAGGTCCCATGCAGAAAGGTGAAGTCACATGAACAAACGACAAATACACAATCCAAACATGTGATCGCCAACCATAAAATTCGCATGAGTAATATCCCAACAACAAACCAAAAAACCAACAAGAAGGTCGGCACATGATTAACAAACCGCTCTGAGCACAGACGCCCAGTTTTTTGCCCAGCCGACTGGCAGTCAATACTACTTCAAACGCGTCCACAAGGTTTGGCCAAAAGACCACTCTTATTTTGGGGTTTCACCTCCAACCCCCTTCTGATTAAAAACGTCCTTGTCCGCCCAAAACTCAATACATGCCAAGCAACAACATTCAGTTACCAAAGCTATGGCCAATACTGTGGCCAAGACTACAGAAACTCCTTTCGGTTGTGATTTCAGATTGTTTTTGGGTTGTTTAAACCGCTATATCAGTTTGCGTAAAAAGACAAGGTTTGGCCCTCCCCGAATAACACAAAACCACTCTGAATAACACTGGGGGGACCCTCCAAAATCCGGCTCTCAAAAACCTTGTCAACCTTTTGGGGGGGAGAAATAATCATCTTCCCCCATTGCTACTTTCATAACATGGCAATGGCAATTTCCCGGGCGGCCCCTCTTGAAAGGAATGAAAAGGGACCAACCGCAAGCACAAAATCTTGGTTGCTGTTGACCCCCTGCCAAAGAAAAAAACACTTGTTGGGGGTTTAGTGGAAAACCCCTTTATTTCCCAAAAAGCTAAAGTCTAAAGATCCAACCCAGCTTTGCCTCGTGACATGTGTTTTGGTCCGCCTGCCACGCGCCCTTAGAGCGGCCCGCTGCTGCTCGAGCTGG